TTAAGCTCTAGACTTAGTGAGACAGGAGTCTAGTAACCCCTGATAGGTAACCAAATCTTGATTTTGACCTCAGTTTGACTGTCTAGGGTTTGAAAGTCTATGTTCACAATTTATCTAAAATCCAGCTCCTTCCAGGAGTCCCCTTGCCTGTTTAGTCATGTATTACAATTCTAGGATTTAATAGTCACTTTCCCATATTCTATGCACACCCCACCTATACCTCTATAGTGCTGTTTCCTAGACAGTGTTTTGTGTGTTGAGCCTTTCTGAAATCCACCCTTTGTTCAAGGAATCACTTGGCTGACTTCTTCTGTATAGTATTGTGATTTTCTCTTATATTTATCGAACAGTTGTTTACACAATGCTTATGCAGTGTCAAACTTAATGCTGATAGCAGTTCATAAATGTTCTTGTTTTATCATTATGACAGCCCTAGGTAGGTTAGTTCTATTATTACCCATGTCTTAAAGATGAGGATATAAATCAAAGGTCAGAAAGGTTAACTGACTTATCTGATATCTTATAATAGTAAGTGTTGGGCTAAGATCATAACCCAAGTCTATTTGTCTTCAGAACCTGAGCTCTTAGCACTGGGGTCTGTTGTCTACACGGTAGCTGTCAGTTACTTGTAGCCAAGGTTGATGTAAGTGTGTGTCTAGGCATTTCCTGGGACCAGTTTCATTTAGCTTTGCTGTGCCCCAGATGTTGGGGCACATAATGATAGTACTGATCTCTAAAATCACGAGTCTCTATATAGAGCCCCTCTGAACCTGGGTGAGTTATGCTCATTGGCAATTGTTTGGTAATGGGAGTCAATCAAAATGCATTTGAAGGGATGAACAGAAGAACTAAATGGGAGCATGGAAATCTGCTACTTCATGGCTTTAAAAAATTTTATTTATTCTTATTTTATGTGTATGGGTGGGTGGTTTGCCTGTGTGTATTGTAAGTATACCACATGCATGCAGTGCCTGCAGAGATCAAAGAGGGTGTCTGATCCTGTGGAACTGGAGTTATAGACAGTGGCTAGCTTCTGTGTGAGTTCAGGGAGCTAGGGAACTGAACCCAGGTCCTCTGCAAGAACAAGTGATCTTACCTTCTGAGACATTTTTCCAACCTCTCTCTTCTTGCTTTATAAGGGACATATAGACTGACATAGCAACACCATATTGTCCCTAATATTGCACTACAGGAATCATTCTAATACTAAAGGATAGTATCTCCTCACATCAACAGAACCTATTTACAATCTGGATTCTCCTTTACAACCAGGCTATGTGTCATTGAAATTCCTCCTGCATCTTGAACTGTGGATATCTGGGGGAGAAGTGCGAGTTCCATGCTAGAATATGTCAAGCTCACCATTTTCACAGCAAATGTAGGATATAAGGATAGTTTGCAATTGAGAGTTCACCAAGAATGCTTATCTATAGCAAAGGTATTTCTACCATGTAGAATAATTACTATGTGTTCAGTTTGGTGTATGTTTGCATGCATGAGTAGATACATTTGTATTTATACATGTATGCATGCTATATAGATGTAATTTATAGGCATAAATATGTGTATATATATGTGTATATATACCTTTGTGTTTGTGTATATGTTCATGTGTTTTTATGTGCGTTTGCATACATGTATGAGCATGTTTTTTGTTTTATTTGTTTTTTTTTTTTTTTTTTTGGTTTTTGGAGACAGGGTTTCTCTGTGTAGTTCTGGCTGTCCTTAAACTTTCTCCTTAGACCAGGCTGACCTCAAACACACAGAGATTCACTTGCCTTTGCCTCTCCAGTGCTGGGATTAAGGGCATGTATCACCACCTCCTGTCTCATGGTCCTGTTTGTGTGTGTATGTGTGCACCTGTATGTGCATACATCTGTGTAAGTGAGAAGAAGAAGGAGGAAGAAGGAAAGTGTGAATATAAGATTGGGTAAGACCCAAATGACGAGCAACACTAAAGTAGATTTGCCCTTGTAGAGTTTGGGTAGATTATGTGAAGTCTGGACAGGTAAAAGAATATTGCTTAATGATTTTTTTGATAGTACCTATTAAGCAACAATGAAACAAAAAAGATCTTTTGGGACTTCTGAGTAGTAGACAGATATGAAATGAAACTGGTTTAGTTATATTTAACTAAGCTGACATGATAGTGATATGAATTGCGATTTTAAAGATAATACAGTTTTACAAAGACCTTCTTTACACCTAAAATGTTTCCTGAAGGTCTGTGTGTTAAAGATTTGATCCCTAATCCACAAAGCTATTAATAGGTGGAGGAATCTTTAAGAGGGGGAACTAGTTGGAGGAACTTGTGCAGCTATGTGCATGCCCTTGAAGGGGATATTGGAACCCAAGTCCCTTCAACAGCTTCCCCTGCCACAGGCTCTCACTGTGACACATTGCTTTGCTTCAGGTCCAAAAGCAGATCATGGAAGCTTCAAAACTCTGAGCCAAAATAAGTAGATTTTCTCAGGTATTTTCACCAACTGATCCTAAACTGCATAGCTCAGACCTCAACTTGAAATCAATTTTTAAAAATATGTATTAGTGGTGTGATTTTGGTTAAGCCAGCCTATGCCCTCATCCAATGACAGGATCAACAATATCAATTCTAGTCTCTTCTATAGGCTAGTAGCACAGAATTTATTTAAGGTTTGGTGTAGTATCCAAATAAAGAAAATGAGACATGTGAGGGAAAACTGTTGCAGAGATTATCTGTCCTTGGCCTATTCATGTTTTCTGAGAGATCAGTGATAAACAGGAATAATGGGATCATATTTCTCCAAGTGGTCTGGAAGGCTTCTCTGATGATCTAGAAGGGTCCTATGTGCCTCTGAATAGCAGAAGGGACAAGTAGACCTGCAGTTGTGAGTTCTACTGGCTAGTAGAGCAAAATTGTGTTTGCCTTTTATTCCTGAGGGATTTATGAGCTTGGCAAGATAGATATGCCTTCTGCTGTCTTTGAAAACATGCAGTGAAACAGACCTGTTTTATAATCTTGTTCAATTATGGATTGAATTGAATGAGTCAAGGAGTCCAAAGGAGTCAGCCTGGAAATTCTGAGAAGACACAACTGTAAAAGCAGAAATGTGATTAAGGAAAATTGCACAGGGGTGAAAGCTTGGTGAATTGCATGATAGGTTTAGAAGCTGGAATAGAAGGCAAATTGCCATGGTATACTTATCTAGGGTAGGAGGTTGCCCTGGCAACCTGGTGGCCACTACTCAAAGAAGATTTGTATGTATAGCTGAATCATACAAATATATGACTTGGACAAGATTGGGCCTGTCAATATTCTGTGGTGGAATGGGGGAGGGCCTTATAAAGTCTTGTCCCTACCTGAGGAGCTTTTGGTGGTCAGTGGTTACCAGGGAAGGGGAAGACATTTTGTTCAGTGATGTAGCCAATGGTAAGTTGCCTATGATCCTGTATTCCTCGAAATAACACCTTGCCTATGTTCATATGAACGACTCTAATCAAACTCATTGATTTCTCTCCATCACACACACATAGGGTGTGACATCATAGGGAGTGTCTATAACATATTATATATAATTAACAAATGCTAATTAACACATTTGAACCCTAAAAATGTGTATGTATTTGGCTAGATGAATATAGGGATGGGCAGGAAAAGGTGGTAGCTTTGCACCAGATACATATGTGAACTGATAGGAACAATCATATTTAGGAGCCACATTTAATGCAGGGAAGTTGACTGTCTGGTAGAGTACTTTTTAGAAACCACACAGCACCAGTGATGGATACAAGACATTCTCTGACTCTTAGACAACATGGTTCAGATAGTATCATCCCTCCTGTCTTCAACCTTAGTGCTACTAAGAAGCTTTCTGACAAAGTTATAGTTCCTTTTTGTTTATTCTAACAGTTCAAGCTGAAATCTTTGGCAGCAGAGTGAGTCGAATGTCCAGGGCACAAAAGTTAAGGAGGCACTCTGAGTGCTCACTCTCAAGTGCCTCCTTAAATTCTGCCTGGGAACCCTGGTTTGCTTCACTCGTGGCCTTCCTGCCTGGAAGGCCATTTCAGATGGCCACTGGAAGGTCTAGAGGGCAGACTGTTACTTGTGATCATCGTGATTCTCCCTCCTCTAATTCTTGCAGTTGGCTGGGAATTGCCAAGTGGGACAATAGCAGTGGCTCAGGCATTCTGTAAGAGGCCTCATTTCTCTGAAACTCTGATTTCCTTGGGATTGAAGGATACAGCAGAGTCCCTGGGAAGAAGCATTGGGGTACTGAAGGAGCCATGGCAGAGAGGCTTGGGTCAGTGGCTAGAGTGGCAGCAGCTATCTTGGAACTCTCCCAGGTAAGAAAGGCTCTAACACTGGACTCAGCCAGCTTGACACTGAACATTGTCGTCTGTCCTGTGATTCATGCTATCCTCTCCTTCCTTGTGAGGCCAGCATTTCAAAACAAATAAAAGGCTTCCCTTCTCTGTGTCTTCTGCTGTCCCAGGAGCTCCCAGGTCTCTCTCTCTCTGGGACTTTCTTGCCCATGTCTCATAGTCCAGTTGGATTTTCTCTCATCTCTGAATGACTAAATTTATTTTAGACCATGGAAAAATTCAGTCACTGTATTAATCATATTAACAGTTTGCCAATGGAACCCATTGTCCCTGAACTACTCTGTTACATTACAACTGCAAAACTTATCATTTACATATACATTTTATTGGTTATAATCCTGCAAAGTATGTAATATGTACCAGTTTTATGGATGGGAAACTGAGATGCAGAGAAATGAGATTTTCCTAAAGGCAGACAAATAGTTGATGACACACCTGGATTCTGAATTCTCATTCCAGAACTTTTGCTATTAAGCCTTATCACCTCTCCGGTCAACCCAAGGGGGGACCAGGCCAAACAATACTTTTAAGTATTTTCACCTGGCTTTCCCTCCTATTCTGACCATCTTTTGACTTACCTTTTCAGAAACCAATCCCTTCTATCATATCCTTTTCCCAACTCCCAATCAGTCTCTCACCTGGGTGGTCTATTTCAGCCACTAATAAGTGGATGGCAAACTCCAGGAAAGAACAGTTGCACTTCCAGGGGTTTCCACTTAGATACAGGGTCTGGAGTACCACCAGGTGGTGCAAGGCATCGTGGTCCATGGTCTGCAATCCAGTGTTTCTGAGGTCCAGGTACCTCAAAGAGCTGGTGTTGGCAAAGATGTATTTGTCAAGAGACAACAGGTGAGGGTTGTTGGAAATGTTCAGCCGCACCAGGTTGTTGAGCACTGAGAAGGTGAATGGGGAGATGGAAGTTAGGTTGTTGGAGCTGAGATCAAGGTAGATGAGTTTGAAGACCCCGATGAAGGTATAATCCATCAGCTCTCGAATCCGGTTGTTCTGACAGTCCAGGTAAACAAGGTCACTGAGGAATCCTAGTTGCAAAGCTGGTAAACTAGTGATTTTGTTATTGCTCAGGAATAGCCTCCGGGTGTTCAGAGGAATGTTAAGTGGATATTCCGTTAGCTGCATATTTGTGCAAAATACTTCTTGGTCTTGACACAGACAATTGTTTGGGCACTTGGACCCTGACACTAGCCCCATTCCTAGAGAAAAGAGTAATAACTGGGGGCCAGGGCCTGAAGCGAGGGACATATTAAGAAGCCACTGTTCCCCTCCTTCTACCTTCCTGAGGGCGGGCACAAGCTGTCCTGATCTGAAGGCTGCCAAGGGCTGGGGCAGGGCAGGGCAGGGCAGGGGAGGGGATGGGTGCTGGAAAAAACTGTAACACTCTAGCTTTGTGCAAAGCAATTTTCCATTACAGGAGAACTGAACAGAAGTTGAAATGAGAGTCCCAGTGCCCTGCTGCCGGCTTGGTGGCTCTGCCGCTTGCTTAGTCCAGAGTGCTGTTGGAAGCTTGCCCACTTGGCGGCTTCAAAAGGTCTCACCCTTTCCCTGCCTTCTTAAGTGAAGGGGAGCCAGGGGAGAGCCACATGACAACGAGGTCGCCAGTTGACACTTTTGTGATGTCAGCAGCCCCAGGAGACTGCCAGGCGAGGGAAAGGCTTCTTAGCTCTTCTTCTGGGTGGTGTGGGGTGTTGTGTGTAAGTAGGTGAGCTTGCCCTCTGGAGGAGCTGGGCATGTGGATGTGGGGGACACACATGAGGGCACTGTATATGTGTGTACCAGTGCATGCCTGGACTGTTCATACCAGCTCCTCACAGAGTGTCAGAAAGGATTTGACTAGATTGGAGCCCTTAACTCATGGGGGTACTTGGGGTGTCTCCAGCCCCATCACCCTCTCTGATGGTCAGCTCCCAGAGTGGATATTTTCTTGGCTTCTGAATTTTGAAGGGTGCCAGTTGTTTTAGGAAAGGGGTTTGCCTCTTTTGTAATAAAGCAATGAGAATTTCTCTGATAAGGTGGAACATTAAGATATTTTTCTTCCTCCCTTCCTCCGTCCCTCCCTCCCTCCCTCCCTTTCTTTTTTGTTTTTTGAGACAGGGTTTCTCTGTGAAGCTTTGGAGCCTGTCCTGGAACTAGCACTTGTAGATGAGGCTGGCCTCGAACTCACAGAGATTCACCTGCTTCTGCCCCCCAAGTGCTGGGACTAAAGGTGTGCGCCACCACTGCCTGGCTTAAGATTTTATTTCTATGTTGTATACATCCTTGTCCTCGTTTTGGTTTTTCTGGGACAGTGTTTCTCTGTGTAACAGCCCTGGCTGTCCTGGAACTAGCTCTGTAGCTCTGTAGACCAGGCTGGCATCAAACTCACGGATATCAGCCTGTCTCCTAAGTACTGGAATTAAAGGGTGTATCACCACCACCTGGCCCTTGTCTACATTTGGAGAGAGAGAGAGAGAGAGAGAGAGAGAGAGAGAGAGAGAGAGAACATTAGTATTTTAAAGTCTTTGTGAACAGTTTTAAGATACTTAAAACCCAAATGCACATTTTAAAACAAAACTGAGTGTGATAATATGAATCATTTCTTATTACTTGTATTCACCCTGAACTTTAAACACCATGAGTGCATTTCTAGTGCTTCTGTGGGTTTCTGATCATTAACTGCTTGCAGATGATTGGAGTCTTCTGGAGGCATGGGGCCTGGAAGTTCTGTGTAACTCACTCCATGGGGGAAGGTATGAGGTCATAAATGAAGATAAAGCATCTTGGGAGTTAAAATTGTATATTTATGGAAAATAGGATCTTACTCTATAGAAAACTTCATATATAATGTAAGTGAGAATATTAATAACTCAATGAAACCTATATTTAGCTTAGCATAGTGCCTGGCACTAGGCATATAATAAATATTTATTGAATGAATGATGCGTGAATGTCTCTGATGCTTTGTTTCCTTTTCTTGCTTCTCTGCCAAGAGAGAAATTAATAAAGTCAAGTGGATTCATGGCTAGTTAGCTAATGCTTGATTTTGTCTACTGACTCAGCATTTCTCGGGTGACTGGCTGGGAATTAACATGATGACTTAGGGATGTTTACTAAATTGAAAGTGACCTTCTTTAAGCGGAAATTTCAGACACTTAATGGAATGACCTAAGTGATAGTTGTACTAATTGAAACAAGATTTAATTGATAGGGAAGCCAACCTTTCTTTATAATTAAAATAAATTCTGTTTAAAAAACATAAAAACATAAGCAAGCCCCTCCCTAGAGCTTAGAATATTGCTTATAAGATAAATTTAGAACATAAAAGTCTGTAGCCTGAGATTAATCTCCAAAGTGGCCGTTTCCCCTGGGAGTCACAGTGGAGTGTGCTACTCAGGCAGGGTCTCCTAGGGACACTTTATTAGGTGTGGGTCATGTGTGCTGGCTGCTTTGTTCCCATGAGTGATGGCCACTGACTGACCTCCAAGGCTCTCAGAGTTCTCTTACTGACTTTCTATTCTCTCTCTTTCTTCTTTTGAAACACTTTTAAATCACATTGTCTAACTTATATGTGTGTAGATTTGTGGTGTATATGTGTGGGCACACATTTTCTTCTACTCTGTGGGGCCTGGGAACTGAACTCAGATCATCAGTCTTGGTAACAAACGACTTTACTAAGCCACCTCATCAGCCCTTCCACCTTTCATTTATACCACCCTGCCTCTCTTAGAGTCTTTCCTCAAGAGCCGTGACTCCAGGTGACCTCATTTAGTTTTGCAGCATTCTTGACTTCTTCAGGACAGTAGCCTCAGGCCTGGCTTTACCTGTTTGACCACACTATGACAAGCATTCTCACTAACAAAAGCTTTAGATAAATAAATTGTGCCAAAGGTTATTGAGCAGCACTAACAGGCTGCATCTAACTCCTTCCTATGGTAGCTATGCAGTTTCTAATCCTCTAATGGGTGCATTGCAACTTTGAGAGGTTAGATATGCTTCCTAAAATGTGTTCATTTTGATAGCTAAGTAAATGTTGTTCGAGGGCTGGGGAGATGGCTCAGTCAGTAAAATTCTTGCCATGCAAAACCAAGAACCTGACTTTAGTCCCCAGAACCCATGTTAAAAAGCTTGTAATCCCAGCATTCAGAGTGCAAAAACAAGTCCATCTCTGGGGAATTCTGACTGGCTAGCCTAGCACAGTAAGTCCTAAGTGACTGAGAGACCCAGTATCCAAAAACATGTAAAGAGTGCTTAAGGCCAAGTCAAGCCCTTACACAAGCCCTTACATAAACATTTACACAAGCCCTTACACAAGCATTTACACAAGCACTTACACAAGCACTCACACAAGCATTTACATAAGCCCTTACACAAGCTCTATGTGCTTGCTACTGAGAATTCTGTGTAGCTGCCTTGCTTTTGGGTGCTAAGGGAAGTTGACTTGGAATACTTTTGCTTGCCTAAGAAGAAAAGAGCAATAAGAAATATATATGCCATTTTATTAAAAGTGTGAATGGGCTCAACAGAGGGCTCAAATAGAGTTATCAGCCAGTGGTACACAGGCCAATACTTCTTTTCCTTTCCTAGCAGTTAAACATGGGTCCATATCTAAAGAAGGTAAAATATCGATGGCTTTGGTATATGAGCCACTTAGGATATAGAATTCACCCCAGACTTTGATCTTGCCCAGCCCTTCTTCAACAGAGTCCTCTCAGCAAGTGTGGGGCTCTGGGGCAGTGCCAAGAAAAGCAGGTGAAAACAGATAAGGTAAGTGTGGAAAAGAGAAAAGAGTTCCAAAGCATGTTGGATGGGTTAGGGCCTCAGGCCAAACCAGTATCTAATCTAATCTAATCTATCTATCTATCTATCTATCTATCTATCTATCTATCTATCTAATCTATCTTGGGTCTGTTTTTAGTACCAGCTGGTATAAACTACCATTATCTTTTCCCTCAAAGTTGCTTGAGTTCCCCACTCAGGAGGTGAGACCCTTAAGAGTAGAGGTTGGAGGAGCTCTCCTTGTGCTCCCCAAGAATGCTTTTGTTTTCAGGATTCCTTCATATTGTGCATTTCTATAGCATTCATTATCCAGGGGTAACCAAGGGGAAGCTTCAAAACTGCATATGAGATTTAGTGGAGGAATTGGAGCCCACTTCTACCTCAGAACAGATGGGTCATTGTAACATGGCTAGGATCATTTAATGTCACTAAGTCTTGTGGTAGCTTGGTATGTAATTGGCCCCTCTAAGCTCATAAGGAGTGGCTCTATTAGGAAGCGTGGCTTTGTTGGAGTAGGGATAGCCTTGTTGGAGGAAGTGTGTCACTGTTGAGGCAGGCTTTGAGGTCTCAGATATGTTCAAGCCATGCCCATTGTTTCAGACAACTTCCTGTTGCCTGCAGGATCAAGATGTATCTCCTTCTTCATGATCAGCTCCTCTAGCACTGTGTCTGCCTAAATGCCACCATGTCCTGCCATGATGATAATGGACTAAACCTCTGAAACTGTAAATCATTCAATTAAATGTTTTCCTTTATAAGAGTTGCTGTTGATGTGGTCATGCTGTCTCTTAAACAATAAAAACCCTAAGGCAGGTCTAAAAGTGAGTTGTGACTTGGAGTTGTCAGTGAGAGATGGCTAGGTTTTCCAGGTGTTTTGTAGATTTCAGTGTGGGAGATGCCGGTGTGATGTAAGCTTTGGGATAATATTTTATTGATCTGGGTGGTGATGGACATACACCTTTAATCCAAGCACTCAGGAGGCAGAGGCAGGTGATCTCTGATTTGAGGCCAGCCTGGTCTACAAGAGTGAGTTCTAGGACAGGGGACTGTTACAGCTAGGAGATATGGCTTGAAAAACAAACAGGAGATTTGGTGACTTGGGTATATTCTGTTGCTTCCTTCTGTGGGTGTAAGTTTCCTTTTAGGTGAGATGGTGATGGGCACTGTTGTTCATTTGACTGTTTGTGGTGCTAAGGATTAAGCCTAGAGCCTTGTGCTTGGCAATCACTCTCCCGTTGAGTTATAACCTAGCTCTCTTTATTTTTTTTTCAGTTTGTTTTTGGAGACAAGGTTTCTGTAGTTCTGACTGGCCTTGAACTAGCAAAGGATGACCTTGAACTTCTAATTCTACTGCCTTCATTTCCTAAGTGTGTTTAATGTGTTGGGGATAGAACCCAGGGCTTCATGAGTGCCAGGTGTTAACTTCTTATAGTAAGTGTTGACACTATTCAGTAAATGATTTTTCTTGTGTATGGGAAGTAACTAAACGGAAAGACAATTTGTTTACTCAGAGGAATGGAAGTTGTATATGGTAATTCAGGAGACTGGGACAGGAGGTTTGCTGCTAGTTTAAGGCCAGCCTG